ATTCGGGCATATGAGGAAATTTGGATCCGTGTCTGTATTTTTACAGAATCACAGGGCAGATCGCTTAATCACTGAAGAATGCCGGGACGGATAGCCCTTCGCGTATTTATAGGGGCCGAGGTAGTCTCTACCAGCATCTAGAATGTTCTACGGTAGGACCTAAAACATTCCAGGTTGTTCTCACCCCTACCTGTATATTCGAGACATTATCAAAAAGTTATAGAATAGCTACCCGGCCCTTTTTCCCCAGTGACCGTTCCTCTCTCGCACGCCGTATACCCATAAGACACACGTAGTTTCAACAGGGTTAGCAAGATTCAGGGGCGTAGCTACCACCGTATCTGCCGTATCAATTATTTAATCAAACATTTATTTTCTTTTTGTGAGAAATCTGTACCCTTCATAAGGGCCTTCAAACAAATTTTTATACGGGGCCCCGCCAAGGCGCGATACGCCACAAATAAATTAAGACATTTTAGATAAATAATAATAATTGGTAACATCGGGTCAAACTAGATTACATATGAAATAAACCCAAGGAACATATTCTTTAAATATAATTCATTCTTTAAAAAATAAAATATAATAATGAGACATTAGTACCATACATTCGCAGACAAATATTAAAACCAGATTAATGAGATAACTAATTACATTAGGTGGCATTCTCCACCATCCATATGAACTCCACGTGATGCGTGCGTATAATTTAAGTAATAAATGAATAACTCGATTTTTTTTGGACGATAAACATCACTATTACTGTTTTGACATTCTCTTCAATTGACGTTGACGTTGACTGCTGTCATTTAATGTAATACCATTAAGTTTTGTCGAATTCGTACTACTTAAACACCTACCATAAAAATAGTGGGATAGTTTAGGTTGTCACTAATAAATCATGAATTTCTATATTTTGATTTCTATTAAATTTCCATATAACTAAATAGTATTAGAGTTACTTACTCTGTTAAGCACGTAATTCCAAATAATAAATAAAATACCACTAAAATACCAAAACTTTCGCCGTCATTTGTCAACTTTTGTCCATCTGTCTTTATCGCAATCCCTTTAAATTTGGCACTTCAAAGATATTTATGAACTTTACGCTACAACTACTTAACATGTGCTTCGCGCTTTTTTTTAAGACTTCAATGTCTTATATTAATAATATCATATCATGTCAGACGCAAATTTATTTTATATTTATCGTTTATTAATTTAATATTTATTACATAGAACAGTAAACGGCCGACTTAATGCCAAATTCTGAAATAATGAAATTAGAAGCTGCTGGTTCCGTAGAGAATCGGTTTATTTGACAAGACATACATAAAAATAATAACTTCTATAAAAAAAAAAAAAAACAAAATATAAAATACTGTAAAAATATAAATAATATCATAAAGGTTGTGCTTTAGCACGCGCGTTCACTATCAGTCTACCAGACAGAAAGTAGGAAACAAAATGTACGACGATAAAGAAAGTATAATTACAAAATAAAAAATAAATACACTTAAACCTAAAATAATAAACAATAGGTTTATGCATAAATAAATATTGATATATACGTATATTATAAATATTTATATACATTTCTAAATAGAAATATAGCAATACAATAACATATTTATTACATAATAACGGATTAATGGAAAACTAAGGACTATTTAAGAAATGTTCATGCGCGATACTTTTGAACACACTTGCTTTTTACTTTTGGCCTTCCGAACGTCTTCTGGCAGAGTATTCCAGAGGCGATTGGAAATCAAAGTAAATGAATTTGTCATAAAGCTGCCCAGATAGCATGCTAACTTGGGGCAAGTTTGATTTTTCTTTGATTCTAAATTGTTGGGTCAAATATACAAGGCAAGTTTACGACAATGTCGCTGCAATATTGTTATGTTAAATATGAAGTTTCAAGTTTGCGACAATATTGTTTGAATATTGTTATGAGAAAGTTACTTATTTGTAATACACCCATCATCTCCATAGGTGCTCGAATAGTTCTAAGTCGGCAAACTAGATGGTGCTGTTCATTTAATGCATCGTTGTACCAGTTTAAATTTTTAGATTGTATAAGTAATATGCCGTTTAATGTGATCTTAATATGGGATTCGAAACCAACCGTTCCAATTAATTACTTTGGGTCTTAGACTAGGCTCTGTGCTGTGGTCTGAGTTTAAAGTTGCAATCGCTTTTGGACCAAAACTTTTGAATGACCAAAAGATTAATAAAAACTTAGTAATATTTGTCTCGAAAGCTGTATTCCAGGATTTCCAGGTACTCGAGTACCCGAGTACCTGCTAGGTATTCGATTCAGTACCTAGGAAAATTATTGCACTACCTTACTTATGATACGTCAAAGGCAGTGCAAGTTTGTCACACTGAAACTAGAAAGTTTCATTTAAACTTGCTGCAAGTTGCTGCAGCAAACTTGAAGCAAGTCTTCTTTTTTGATGTATCCAACTTGTTGCAAGTCATAAACAAGTTTAAATTGCTATCTGGGTGGTTTGATGAACACCTGTTCGAAGAGAAATATTACTACTAGAGCGAAGTTCACGCTCATGACAAGCACCCAGCAACTGGACATCTTATAGGATGTTGTAAAGAATGGAAAGAACTCTAAGATTCTTCTTATAATCTTTGACAGCTTTTGAAAAAGGTCAAATGAAATAGTTGAATAGGGATGACGACTAATTTTTGTTTGTAGATTATTGAAGAATATTAAACAAGTATATTGTTTGCGTAATCAATAAATTACGGGGGTACATTGAGTAGAAATGTTGCCATGCGCCACGCTTTAGTACATTTTCTATAAAACTGTGACGTAGCAAGCCGACATTCCTCAACTTTAATGCCTATTATATAAGCCGTTTCTTGTTTAAATTGAAGCAAAAAAAAATACGTATCTAATATTTTTCTATTATCTGACTGACGAACTAAAAAGAATTTCTTTTTTTTTTGCCCAGTCGTCATCCTTGTTGGAAAATATCAAAACTTCACTTTACAATCAATAACTCATTCAATCATTCATTCAGTTCAACGTTCACTCATTGACCTATTTGTGATATCACATTAAAGCAGACCGTCGATCAGTAAACACGTTCTTTTATTTTTCTCCCGTAACCATATACCAATAATCCTTATGCTAATTTTAGTTGAGTTTAGCAAAGTTTTTCGCTCTTCACATGAAGATAGAAAAATTCGTGTCAAACATATATAATTTGTACAAAATATATGCATTTGTGCGGAAAACTGTCCAATTGATCTGAAACATTCTCCTCCGGCATCACATCATAATAACATCGATACGGTCACTGTGACTTTTCTTTACCGTACAATATCACTGCCTCGTACCTGAATATGAAAAACCAAAGTTTACATTAATTCCAATTTGATTTGCGGGAGATGTTTCGATCTCTCCATATGCCTTGCGCAAGGTTATCGCATTTTTAAGTCGTCCGTTTGCGTGTTTTGTTTTTTTTTTAACATGAACCAATCGAACATTGATTTCTTTACTTAATTCTATAATTTGTCATCACTATTGCTATACCTTAGAAACACATTGTTTCGTTGATTGTTTAATTAGAACAATCAACGAAACAGACATTTGGTACGAAGAGATGTTACCTTTTCGTTGAATTTATGAATGTGGCAACTTATTCGGTGCGTTTTGTTGTCACTTGAAAATAGCTTAAAATGCGCTTTGTTTTTTTTTGTCTCACAATTATTATGGTTTTTATACTGATTAATACAAAAAAAATAATTGCTTTAGTCTTGCTATATTATATGAGTGATAAGATAAAGTCTCCAAAACATATTTAGAGACTTTATACAATTTTACTCGTAAAAAACTTGTAAAATTATTCTGAATACAAAATACTTCAAAAATCCACTCAATCGGGAATCGAACCCATGACCTTTTGCAATCCGGGCGACTGCTCTAACCACTGAACTAGCTGATTAAGAATTATTTTCACTATGGCATTGTGATTGCAAAATTAATAAAAATATAATAGACTTGTAAAATTTGTATACAGTACAATTTTTACAAGGTATTTGTTTTATAATAACTAAATTAAAACATCAGTATAGCATTGTGAATGTAAGATTTACTATATAGAATTTCTGTAATAATGTTAAATGATCTATTAGCATCTACTAATCTGAATCGCACTTGGCCGGTTTTGCATTACATAAGTTCAATAAAAAAAAAGTTCAAAAACTTAAACCCGACTACAGCTAAATCACGCTCTAAAAAGTTTAAAACAATAAATTTATTTTGGGTGATAGACAATGAGCCACTTCTATTGTTACCTCATTAGTCTAGTTACGATAAATAGTTTCGAACTTTCTTACAACATATCGGCCAAAATCATAACCCTCCTTTTCGCTTCACCGCTTTAGTTGGGTAAAAATGATAAAAAGTTTTTACTCGTCTTCTTCTTTTTCTTTTATTAATGTCTTATCAGCGCGTTCCGCACAATTCTGCCAATGTCAAGTAAATAAATTAATTTCTACATGTAAGATGAAAAGAAAATGAATGAAAGACGGTGATGAGTAGAGTGAAATAGGTTACATACATGGATTAAATGATTATAAAAATCTGTACAAAAAATATACATCACTGATAAAAAATATGATCATGAAATCGAAACGCTCACGTCATCTATTGAAAGTTAAAAGTAATTAAACTAACGCAAGTGGCGCCTTCTGTGCGCACGCAAACGAACTAAACTCAGACAAGAACCATTAGCAAATCTGCCGTTGTCAACGGATGACCTAGTTTCCTAGCCCAGTAAAAATAGAGTTTGACAATAGCTCAACCACTATTTTTGGTCCGTATCTCTTAAATCTCCAAGCACACAATCTTATCTTTGACATTATAGCGGTAGTGTTGAAAAACAGCGCGTTTTATACATAAGTGGAGACAGCGCAACCGATACAGTTATAGCTTAGTATGTGTAATACTGAAAATCGATAACACCACGTCGGGCCAGTCGCCCCGACGTTATCCCTCTGAACATTTGTGTCCATTTAGTTAGCTCACGAATTTTAGTTTAGTAAACAAGGGAACATGTTTTAAAATAAAATGGAAACCTCTGTGAAAAGATATATTAGGAGTGAGTCTGCGAGCTGCGCTCATATTGTCGAAGAGAGCGCGGCTAACAATCAAAAAACATCTGATCCTCATGAAAAATTGAAGGCTTTGTTGAATTCGCCCGAGGAAGACACGGATGATAGTTTACCACCAACAGACGCACCGAAATTTGGGACTGTGATACATAACAGGATTTTCGTTGGCGGTTTTTCTTTGACTACCACGGATGAGGACTTGTGGAAGTTCTTCTCGGGTTTTGCGACAGTGACGGCTGCGAGGGTGATATACGATAGAGCTGGTGTGTCCAAATGCTATGGTTTTGTGACCTTCGCCAGTCCAAGGGTGGCGAGACTCATAGTCAAACAGGTAAGTCGTTGTTGAAAATGTAATATTACTTACAAAGGCTCCCTCTTGATTTTTAACACAAGTGATCAATAAATACTATACCTTTATATGTCTAAGAATAAATGCGAAATTATGTATGTACAATATTGTTCTAGTTCACTACAAATTTTTGTTATACGTTATTTGTAAAATTCACATAAATATTTTCTTAGAACAGGAATTTATAATGGAGTAATCCATTTAAGTAATACATATCGTATTTTTCTTCTAAAACCACATGTTTCGTTAATTTTTTTTAACATGATTTTTTATCATTCCTAAGATGACTGTTTATTCAAAGATAACATAATCATAATTTCAACAGATTTCGAGTTTGAGGTTTTTTAATTACTTGCAGAAACCACTTATAGTAAGCTTTCGATCGTAAGATTTTCCAAATTCACCTACAATCATCGTAATTGAACCAATGTTCATACACAAAACCTTATTAAATTATATAGATACCAAAACTTTCCTCTTAATATACTGCGTCTACTAAAGCGAAAATCTAATTGTCAGTTTCGAACAAATCCTCTTCAAAGTCCATACAGATATTAAAATAAATTTAGGTTAAATCACAAAAACTAAACTTCACATTTTTTTCCATATCTTGTTATAATAATACATTTTTTATAGAAAAATTTATAAATATGTGTGTCTCTTTTTAGTCAAGAGAATTTTGCAGTACTTTTACAATGATTTCAATAGTTTGCGAGTTATTAATTAAAAACCGTTTTTGCCGCGCTATTCCCTGTCAATTTGGATTCGTTATCTAAGATTCAACACACAAACGGTGATCTATGACAAAGAGAACGATGTTTTGGCATAACGACAATTTGTGCACAATGATAACTTATCTTAAATAAAGTTATCTAATCTTGACTTCTTTTATCTAAGCTGTGTATTCGTTTAAAGATAAGATTTTGACTAATCATTTATAAAAATTACAAAACTGCTTTATCTTACTACTAACTAGCTGTTTTCCCGCGACTTCGCGTAAATTTTAGCCTATGTTACCCGCATATCATGTAGCTACCCGTAGGTGAAATAATTTTCATGATCAGATCAGTATTTCTGAATATTATTCCCTAAAAATAAACAAAGTTAGAGACTTTACCTCTTTTATTATATGTAATACATAATAGAATACATTTCCGCGACTTCGTCAACGTGTAATAACATGACATTCAAACCATAAGAGATTCAAACCCCCGAATGAGAGTCATTCGGAGATTTTTACCAAATTATACCTATGATATTTATGGTTTTACAATAAACCTAAATTTGTTTATAACTAAAACCTAGAACCGATTGATAGAATTTTTAATTGATGAAGTTTCACATAATTTCGTTTAGCATAAAAAGAATTCAACTAATCAATTTAAGGTTAGATGAAAGGAAATATAAATAGCGAGCCTAAAATGTGATCTTTGAAAATATATTTTGCACGGTTAGCAACCGAGTATTGAATGATAATGTGTTTTGTTAACCTTAATAACTTACGCTGTGTCAGTCAGAGAGTTTCATATGTGTAGTAAAATTGGATATACAGCGGATGGTAAATGATCTTCGGGCTGTTCTCGTGCTTTGCTTCCTTCCACAGAGAGAGACATCGCTAAGGGGGAGCGAGTATGCGTAACGTGTTCATTTCTCAGCGTCAAAAAAAATACAAAAGTAAACAAATTTTTAATCAATTTTTATCAAACTGTTCCCCGCGACTTCGTCTGCGTAACTTATAGTTTAATTATGTACTACGTAGCGTCCCGTAGATGAAAGAATTTTATAATCTGTCCAATAGTTGAGTAGCCTATCCACTGCAAACAAACAAGCTATCCTCTTTATATTATGAATGAAGATTATTGGAAAAAAATGTCAAGCAAATAAACAAAATCACTATTCGTAAAATTTTCACTATTTTGACATATTTTTTGTATAGATAGTTATTATTTTTGGTGTTACCTATTAACTATATAAAAATATCAATAACACTAAATAGCTTGTTTTTTTTTTTTCAAAATAAGGACATAGTAAGTTTCTTGAATAAGTCGCTTTATTTCTTACTTTTTAAAATTCAAAATCTGTTGTATTTTTTTAACAATTGACTTTTATAATAATGAGCTTCGAATATGTACTACCCAGCCCAAATGACAGTATGTCAAAAGTTTCTTTTTGCAATTTAAGTTTATGTCATGCGCTATTACACATATTAAGGTTAAACTTTTGCAATAAACAATGAAGGTGCCCTAAATATGAGCGGAGAGACATGGTGACGTTTTATTCTGGTACAACGCAATATACTGCACACAAATCTGGTAGTGGCATAATAATGATCAAAAGAATATTTGATAACCAAAAACGGTTGTATTATATGTATATAATCTTCAGGAAGTTCGTATTTTAAAACCGCCTCCGCAACACTGTATTGTTTCGAAAGCTTTTCACTGGAGGGCGTTTCATTTCCTTCCTAATGCATTAGGGTTGCCACATTGGTATTGTCGTCGCCTAGAAATACGATGTAATATATTTTTTTAATAACGTACTATTTTAATATACTTAATGAAAAATTAATCCCTGATCTTTATTGAACATTTTTCATTAAGTATATTTTTTAGTATAGCATTGTGAATGCAAAATTTATCAAATATAACATTATTTTAAGTTTTACGACAATTTGATATCATTTTATAATTTTTTTTCTGTTATCTAAATGTCGTTACTTCATTGGAGCTGGTGAGTTTCTTGCTCGTTTTTCTTATCTGCCAAAAGACGCCCAGAACCAGAGGATAGAAAAAAAATTGTAAAACGATATTTTGACTTTGACTTCTCTAATCTATTGTACAATGCCAATGAAACGGTGCACCGATTAACATCAAATAGTGACGGTCACTCATCAAGCTATTTGAGTCATTGAGTAAAAAACCTATTATCGTCCTCCTAAATATATTTTTACAAATCTAAGAGATCGATGGCGATTTCGCTTTTTTGTCACCAGTAAAAACAGCCTATATGTGGTTTAATAATGGATTATATCGATAGGTACTTAGTTTTATATTAAATTCGAATTTCGCACAAGCTTACTTATAAAACGCCAATTCATTATTCACGTGTAACCTTGAAGAAGGCTTAGTCGAATAAGGGGTTGGTCGATGGTGTATAATGCCCAGAAGGGAGTGAATCCCTCTATAATCTTGTCCGTATTACATTAGATATACACAAAATATAGGTATAATAATATACTTGATATAAAGGCTACGCTCACGTAGTGTACACGATGAATTGACATTTATCCCTAGGGAACCGTTCATAGGGATAAAACTAGCCTATATATTAATTTCATGATATATTATTATATTCATTTAACACAGTATAATAAAAAAATGGATCAAAAACAATTAAGTTATAAAAAAAATTCCAGGTCATAGATTAATTAAAGAAAAGACAAAAATGTATTTATTTTCTTACCTACAATAAGTAAAGCTATTTTACTTTTAATGTGTATTAAACTTGTTAAGATATCAATCAGTATAAAAAACAGGCGAGTCGAACTCGCACACCGACGGTTCTGTCTGTCTGTGTGTCCGCCAGTATAAATTAGCCACTTTATTCTGAAACTATTTGTTTAACTCTTTTTGTTTGTTTTGTGGTTAGGAGCTATATATTGAGACTTTTATAAGTAGGTACATTATTTTAAAAGCTTGAAGATTTTTTCTTTTCCTTATTTAAAAATATTTATTTAGGGTTTCTTATTGTTGTACTTTAATACATGGGGTCAAAACAATTTAAATAGAAGATTTCATCGAGTAATAAACAAAGCGTAACTATAAAATGTAAGCGATGCTCAAAAACAAACATAAAATACTTCTGTACTGAGCCGAGTCCTCACACGCAGTGTGACGTCACACGCTGAGATGCAGCGTGAAGCGTAATTGTTCTAGCGAGCACAGCTTCAATGACCCATAACTTTTTTATTTAAGTAAATGCTTAAGATTTTTTTCACAGTATTTTTTGATTATACTTATTCTTTCATTTTAAATAGAAAACAAATAGCAAAATTCTTGATTATTTCACTAAAATATGTTCAGTTAATTTTGCGTGAATAATTAATCCATCCTCACAAACTTTCGCATTTATAATATTAGTAGGATCACTCATCAAGGAGAAGTGATGGTGATGATGATGTATATGTCAAAAATGTTGTTCACGTCTATACTAATATTCTACAGAACAAAGATTTGATTGTTTACATTGGACATGCTCCGAAACTACTGGATCGATTTTGAAAATTTTTCCACCTACGAGAAGTTACGTCATCTTTGGGCAGGTGCACCCCAATACCAGCTTCTTCCTCTAGACCGCATTCAACGGAGAGCGTCTCGAATCGTCGATTGCCGGGACACTTCAAGTCGGCTTGATCCATTGGCCCTGCCTAGAGATGTTGCTTCACTGTGCATCTTCTATCGCATCTATTACGGGGAATGCTCTGAGGAATTGTTTGTTCGGACTCATACCTGCCGCTACTTTCCGCCATCGTTCCATCCGACAAGAAATCCACGCCCATCATCTGGATGGTTGGAAGTTGGAAGTCAACTGTGCGTTTTTCTAGAAGTTTTCTGCCTCGCACAGCCAAACTCTGGAACAGTTTGTCGCCAGCGGTATTTCCGGACAGATACGACCTTCAAACTTTCAAGCGTAGAGCTTATTTCTCCCTCAAAGGCCGGCAGCGCGCTTGTAGCTCCTCTGGTGTTGCAGGTATCCATGGGCGGCGGTAATCAATCACCATCAGGTGGTCATCCGTCTGCCCCCTATTCTATAAAAAAAAAGAACGTCACAAGCGGATGTTAAAGGTCATAATTTCTGCAAGCAAAGTAGCCGGAAAAAGATTTTTAAGTAGAACATATTAGCATTCTGCATTTCTTCTTCTTAACTTAAATTCTGCTAAACATACTTGTACTCCTTTTAATCCGCGGAATTTTCATAAAAAA